GACATATCATAACTTTGTTTTTGGCTGGTTTGGTTAGCCCTTGCATGCCTCATGCACTTGTAGTGCAACCCCTTGAAATAGCCTAACATGCATCATGCTTTGACATGTCATTTTAGCATGTTTTTGGCTTATCTTAAAGAAGATTTTGTTCATGTTTTATCATGTCTAAGGTTTGATTTTGGTTGTTTTGGTCATGCATGACTTGCTTTGTATAGCCTTGGTTCAATCTAGCTTGTTAGCCTTATGTATTGAGTCCACTAGCATGCATTGCTTGGCCTATTTCAGTGACTTGGCATCACTTGTTATGTGATTTCAGTCCATGTTTCATGGCCATACATTCACATTTGTCACACATTCAATGCGTTGGAGGGTTTGTTCCTTTATGCCTTAACATGAATCATTGCGTATGCCTTCATGCCATAACTTGCGAGCTATCATTTCAGTGGTTATTTGGGGTTATTATGCCATGATATAACTCTGATTTTTATTGGTTAAGTCATCACATGCTTGGTCTTAATAGGTGTAGTGTAATCTACCTTATTTGTCTTGTATTCACCATGCTTCATTAGAAATGGCAACGGGGCGGGGCGGGGCGGGGCCGGAGACTACCCCCCCGTCCCCGTCCCCGTCCCCGATGGGGACCCATAGCCCGGCTCCATCCCCGCCCCCGATCGGGGATCCTCGACCCCGGAAAATCTTCGATTTTTTTTTTTAATGTAAAAATCTGTAAACATCAATAAACATTCTCAATCACCCTTCACTACTGGACGTATAAATTTTGGAATTTATCAGTTGGAATATCAACACTGATAGCTTCATTTTTTTAATTAATTAGAACTCAGCCACAACAAACAAAAAAGAAAGAAAGAAAGAAAGATAGAAAGATCTTGAAACAACATACAAATTTGAATCCTGTAGCAACATCCATTTAAATCAATAAACATTAATAAACAAAACATCCTGAAGCAACATACAAATTTGAATCCTATAGCAACATCCATTTAAATCAATAAACATCCTGTAGCAAAACATCCTGTAGATCTGCTTAAAAAATACAACTGATTATCAATATAAAATAAATAAATTTAGAGAGAAAAAAAAAAACAGATCTATATTGTATTTTTTACAAATCTATACTCAGATCTAAACACTCAGATATATATATATATAATATACATATATGTAAACCTAGATCGAAATCCCTAGAGAGAGAGAGAGAGAGAGAGAGAGAGAGATACCTAAACAGAGATGGGAGGCACGGTGGTGACGGAGGGAGGATCGTCGGTGACGGAGGGAGGCGCGACGGTGACGGAGGGAAGAGAGAGGGATAGACCAGTGGCGAGAGAGAGAGAGAGAGAGAGAGAGAGAGAGAGAGAGGAGCGGCGTGTGTGAGAGAGGCTTTGAGTGTGTGTATCTGTGAAACCCTAACAAAGACAAGCATATGCATATATATATCCAGGAACAAAAGGGTCATTTTACCTCGGGGACCATGCGAGGCGGGGGCGGGGGCGACCGGGTCCGATTCTGAAACACATATCCCCGTTCCCAGCCTGGATATCATCGTGGATGAATTTTTGAATACCGTCCCCGGCCCGTAGGAGATATTTTTCGGTGAATAACCATTGAATTCGGGGTCGGGGGGTCGGGTTGCCATCGAGCCGGTTTTAGATTGCCATCCCTATGCCTCATGCCCTTTATGCTAGCATATTTTGGCTTACTTCCATGCATGTTTTAGACTCATTTTAACATGTACTAGGACTATTTTGGGTTGCCTTGGTCACATGTTTCATGTTTTGTATACTTGTAGTATAAATGCTCTTGCTTGCCTCAAGCTTTGAGCACTATTGCATGCTATCCTTGAACTGTTTAGATGATTTGACATCATTTAATACTTCATTTTAGAGCTTATAGCATTGTTATGTTCCCACTTCATTCATGCTTTGAATGCCTTTGAGTGTTATGCATTGTTGCCTTGTTTGTGGCCTTGCATGTATGCCATCTTGCCTAGGTATTTGAGCCCTCATCTCAGCATGTTTAGGTCCTTATTTTGACCTACTTAAGCTCTGTTCATGCTTAGTTCATGCATTTTTGCCATGAATTGCATGCCTCCTTTGTAGTCCTCTTTGATAGCTTCATGCTTTAAGGACCCTACCATGCTATACTTATGCTGATTGAATGATTTGGCATCATTTCTTACCTCATTTCAATGCATTTAGTCTTGCTACATTTCCATGCTTTTCACTCTTTTAGTGCTCTTGAGAGTTGCATCTTAATGCCTCAATTGGTGAGCCAATTGGCATGCATGTTTGCATGTGTTTTCGATGCCTTCATTTTAGCATTATGGCCACTGATTTGGACATGGCTGAGGCCTATCCATTTTGGTTTAAGTCCATTGTGCATTGAGTATGCCATGTGGTTCATAGTATTGAGAATGCCATGTCATTACATGATTGATTATTGCATTTGTGCATGCCGTGTCCATTGCCTAGCGTATGCTAGTTACCATGTGCATTGTGTATACTAGTTGTCATGAGCATTGTGTATGCCATGTAATTCATAGCATTGTGTATGCTAGTATGTTAGTTGCATGTTTTCATGCTTGTCCTTTGCATCGTATTCATATGCTTGTTTCATTGCATTGAATGTTTGCATACTTGAGCCGCATTGTGTATGCCATGACATGTTGTTTGTTGCATTATGTTTGGAATAGGAGTTAGTCCAAACACGGGAAACGAGGGGCGCTTCATACTCGAAGTGATGAAACGTGCCTCAATTCTCGGTCGCCGACATTCTTGACTATACATGATGGAGTTTTAGGCTTTATGTGTTCGCGTGTGCATTCATTTCATATTGAGTTGTACAACTTGGGCTTTTCAGCCATCATGCATCGAGATGCGTGGTTGGTGGCCCGAGGGTCGAGAACCATACTCCCTTGAGCTTACGTAATGATAGGGAGGGTGGTCGTGTATACATGTGTTGCAAATACTTTGCCATGCCCCTTTCTTGCTCTCTTTTGCAGCAAACTAAAATCTGGCAGCAGAAACTGGTCGGCCGACCAAATAAAGTGGCTGGCCGACCACTTTTCATGGTTCTCAGCACAAAAAGTGGTCGGCAGGTGGTCTCCGATGCCAACAACTGGTCGGCCTCCCTCCTACAGATTCCCATGATGGAGTTTCAGCCTTCTGGAGCTTTTTGCAGTGTTCTGAGACCAGTTGCAAACAGAGGCAAATCGAGGCATCGCGATGGATTTTTGCACGAGGTGACCGGGCGCGCATCCTTCGTCATCTAAGGCAGATTGGAGGCAGCCCATTCCATATAGTTTACATGTTTATTCAATTGCTAACTTAGTTAATTTGTTAATTAGTTAGAATTGTGTAATAATTAGCTGTAGCTTGTTATTCATTCTGTTGTGCAATAACTAGTTTAATTAGATCAGCTTAGATTAGCTAGTTGGTTCTGTATTATTCATTCGGACTCTCCGTCGAGAGGGCACAACTGTTGTAAATAAGTGTGCGTGTGTGTGATGCATGTCTTCCAACCCTCATTTCTTTCTCATTTTTATTTATCAGCTTACGATGGTTAGTCTTAGGGCATGTTTCAATTAGCATCCTTATGCTCGTATGTTTGCATCCATTCATCTATCTTGCATACACTGGGCTCGGTGCATCATACTAACTGCATTGTATTTCAATTCCTGTTTGAATACATGTATCAAATTGCATTTCACATGACATTTTAGAATAGCTGAGCCTATCTTAGTTGCATTTTGTATGTGTTGCATTAGGCATTCTTGACATAACTAGGATCATGAATTGATTTCTAACATAGCTTTTGTTTTGGCTCGGAGTACTCGGTGAATGTTTATGCTTTAGCATCCTTACATGTGTGTGAGTGACTGCCATGATAGCATGCTTGCCATGAGGCTAACTGCTTATGTGATATAACTGCCTGAATGCCTGTGGGTAAAGGTTAGATTACTTGAATTGGAACAATTCATTGATTGCGAGTTTTAAGCCCATTTGAGAGTGGCAAATCACCATGTTTTCTAAACCCACTTGAGGATGGCAAAATCCGTATTTTAGCCTACTTGCGAGTAGTAAACCGATTTCAAAAACAAACACGAGATGTTTTGTTCCAACTTAGGAGATCCAGTCTATACTTGTATGCTGTGCGCATCACATAGTAATTCTAGGTTAATTACCGGAATAAGAGCACATGTGTTTTCAAAAACAAGATATCATTTTAGTAAAGGCCGATCTTTGATCGGGCGAGCGAGGGTGCTCATTGCATGACCTTCCTCTCTCGTACTCAAGTTCCCGAGCGGAGGCAATTTTGGTGATGACGGACACGTGGCCTTAAGCACGAGTCACAGTTTTCTAAATTTCTCAAAAATAAAATATTTAGGTGGCGACTCTGTATCTGGCGAAACAGTCCATGTTTGGTACTTCTTTCTAAAAATAGTTTTTCAAAACGATTTGTCGGATTTAGACTTTTTGGTGATTTATCAATCTTGCATTGCACTTTGCAAGATCAGATTAAGAACCGTGACACTGAGTCCGAACTGTAGTGAGCCTAATGAACAAAACGGGATTTTTTCGAAACGTTCGGACATGTCTACAGCGTGTAATAAGAATTATATTTTTTTTAATGATATAATGAAATAAAGTATGTAAAATGATAAAATAGTAATGTCAGTAGAATCTCTCAATTTTAAAAAATAGTGTGAATTGAAAAAAAAAAAAATAGTGACTCGTAAATAGAATAACCCTAATCAAATTCATGTTTTTTTTTTTTGGACAAAATAAACAATTCGGAATTGTAAAGACTTTGATCAGGCGGGCCCCCCAAACCTCTCTCGTGGTTAGGTGCGTACGATATCGGTATAGAGAGAGAGAGGTCTCTGTGTACGTATATACACACATACGTGTATATCTATATATATATTTCCGTCGATCGATCGTCTACGGCACCATCACCGGCGTCTCCATATATATATATTTCCGTCGATCGATCGTCTACGGCACCATCACCGGCGTCTCCATCTCTCTCCTCGACATTCAAACTCAACTCGCACATTTTTTCTCTCTAGAATCAATTTCTCACTCCTCATTTGTCCATATTCAAAGTAAGTGTTTTTCTACTCTCTCTCTCTCTCTCTCTCTCTCTCTCTATATATATATATATATATAAACGCATATGCCAATTGTATTGACGAAGATTCGATAAGCCTGATGGGGCACAAGAAGCGAAATGTCGCTCCTCGCTCCAAATCATCGCCGTCGTGTGCGCCTCCGTCGCCGGCGTTTTCGTGCGGTGGTGGCGGATCATTCGATGATGTTCCATGCTCAATCGATACCGAGCAAAACCTATTCTCGAATTCTTTGATTGAGCACGAGAAACAACAGCAGAGTAAGATCGAGGCGTCCTCGGTTGTTGAATTGGCAGCTTCGTCTTACTCTGCAATCAAGCTCGAATGCGAGCGAGCTCTCACGGCGCTCCGCCGTGGCAACCACACAAAAGCCCTAAGACTTATGAAGGAGATGTGCCTCAAACACGAAAACTCGGTTCTCTCGGCTCTGATTCACAGAGTTCAAGGGTCTGTGTGTGTCAAGGTTGCTTCGATTATCGATGATCCCAATGCGAAACAGCGGCATTTGAAGAATGCAATTGAGTCTGCTCGGAAAGCAGTCTCCTTGTCGCCGAACTCGGTTGAGTTTGCGCATTTTTATGCCAATTTGCTGTGTGACGCGGCGAATGATGGGAGGGAGTACGAAGAGGTGGTGCAGGAGTGTGAAAGGGCGTTGGCAATCGAGAATCCAGTTGATCCAGCGAAGGAAAGCTTGCAGGATGAGAGCCAGCAGAAGATATCAACCGCTGATGCGCGGATTGAGCACGTGCAGAATGAACTTAGGGTACTAATTCAAAAATCCAACATAGCGTCGATTTCGACTTGGATGAAAAATCTCGGGAATGGGGAAGAGAAATTTAGGTTGATTCCTATAAGGAGGGTTTCGGAGGATCCGATGGAGGTCAAGTTGGTGCAAGCGAGGCGACCAAATGAGATCAAGAAGGCAACTAAGACTCCTGAAGAAAGAAGGAAGGAGATTGAAGTTAGGGTTGCTGCTGCGAGGCTGCTGCAGCAGAAGTCAGAGTCACTGCAATCGCAAAATGATGATGGTAAGGCTTTAGACTCGTCGTCTGGGTCTTCTCAGAGGGCGGGTGAGCGGCGGAAGTATGGAAATATGAGGAAGAGTGCATCCTCAGCAGAGAGAAGGGACTTGGTAAGGTCATATTGGAATTCAATGGGTTTGGATATGCAGAAAGACTTGCTCAGAATTAGAATTTCTGAAATTAAGGCACATTTTAGTTCCTCAAAAGATAATTTGGCAAATGAAGTCCTCTCAGAAGCTATATCATTTGCTGAAGCCAATAAAACATGGAAGTTCTGGATGTGCTGCCGCTGCAGTGAGAGATTTTCTGACTCTGAGTCGCACATGCAGCATGTTTTGCAGGAGCACATGGGAAATCTCTTGCCCAAAATGCAGTCCATTTTGCCTCAAAATGTTGACAACGAATGGATTGAGATGCTTCTTAACTTTTCTTGGAAACCATTAGATGTCAATGCAGCAGTTAGAATGCTTGAAACCAAATTGAAACCCCAAGGTCCTGAACTTCCTGGTGAATCATACTCTAGGACTGATACAGAGGAGTGTAAAGACTGCGTCACTGACAATTATTGTTCTGAAGAGGCATGGGATTTGTCCCCTCAAAGGGGGGGGAGGTTTGGGGATAGTTGTAATGGGGAAACTGTGGAGAGCAAAAGCTACGATAAGGTTTCTGACAGTATGTGGCGAGAAGGTGATGAGAATCAGGGTGGTAAGGCATATTTCCTACCTGATTGTTGGCCATTGTCGGATGACACTGAGCGTGCAAAGCTCCTTGAGAAAATCCATGACATATTTCAGGTGCTTATTAGACATAAATACCTTGCTGCAACTCATGTTACCAAAGTAATACAATATACAGTGGGCGAGCTTCAGGGTCTTGCCTCTGGTTCGCAGCTTCTCAGCTATGGTGTTGACCAAACACCCACATGCATCTGCTTTCTGAGAGCTTCTGAGCTTAAGAAAGTCCTAAAATACTTGCAGGAGTTATCTCATTCTTGTGGCATAGGTAGATATTCTGAGAAGAGTAGTACCATTGATGATTCCAACAACACTGGCGCTCAAGGGGCTGAAATCACAGAGAAAATAATTCTCAATGAAGATGGATCCTGTCTCCTTTTGGATGAGCAGTTCCTGCCCTCAGATGATGCAGCTGGACCAACTTTCTCTAATGCTGGCTATGGACATAGGGTGCTACTTGATGCTGATGCATTGTTGTCGTGGATATTCAGTGGTTCCACAACTGGGGAACAATTGGCATTGTGGACACAAATGAGAGAAGAGAAAGCACAAGAAGGGATGGAAATTATCCAAACACTTGAGAAGGAATTTTACCACCTACAGAGCATGTATGAGAGGAAATGTGAGCATTTGAGTTATGAAGAAGCTGTGCAGGCTGTGGAGGATCTTTGTCTTGAAGAAGGAAAGAAAAGGGAGAATGTCTCAGAATTTGTGCATCAAAGTTACGAATCTGTCTTAAGAAAGCGGCGAGAGGAGCTTATTGAAAGTGACAATGATGTTATGTTTATTAGCAATAGGTTTGAGGTGGATGCCATATCAAATATTCTGAAAGAGGCAGAGGCTCTGAATGTCAATCAGTTTGGATTTGAGGAAACTTATAGTGGTGTGACTTCTCATCTATGTGACTTGGAAGCTGGTGAAGATAGTGACTGGAGAACGAAGGACTATCTGCATCAAGTGGACTCTTGTGTAGAGGTTGCAATCCAGAAGCAGAAAGAACAGTTGGCTACAGAGGTTGGTTATGTTTAGTTCTAGAAGTTTTTTGGTGAAAAAAAGGTGACACATCCTTGCTGCACTATCTCACTTGTTCAGTCATGCAGCTCAGCAAACTCGATGCGAGAATGATGCGAAATCTTACTGGAATGCAGCAGATGGAAGTTAAGCTGGAGCTCGTATCAACCTATGATTATCGATCAATATTAGTGCCTCTTGTGAAGTCATTTATGCGGGTTTGTATTGGGTTTGTCGCCCTTTTTATGATATTCCTGACAACTTCTGGATGCTTTATTTATTTACTCATTTGTCATTTATTTTATGGACAAAGCCTTTTCTAGACTAGAATTTGTGTTTTCTGGTGTTAATCTCTTTTCTCCAGGCACGTGTGGAGGATCTGGCCCAAAAAGATGCCACTGAGAAATCTGATGCTGCAAGAGAAGCATTTTTAGCTGAACTTGCACTTGACTCTACAAAAGGCACTGGTGGAGGAAGTGATAATTTGAAACATGTACATGAGAAAGCAAGGGATAAGAAAAAGAACAAGGAGCTCCGAAAAACAAAGGATTCAAAGATTAGACTGTCGGTCAGGCTTTTCTCTTTCTTCATCTTGTTCTTCCTTTGTTAAAAATGCAGGAACTAGGGCTAATCGTTTCTTATCTTTACAGGGTACTGGTGATAATGAGCTTATGCTTGACCTTGAGACTGAAGAATGGGTGTATGTCTCTCTCTTTCTCTCTCTCGCCCATAATGCTCATTTCACACATTGCTATTTTCCAAGGCATTCCTTTTTATTAAGAATGTGGACACTTGGCATAGTTCAATTGCAACGTTCTTCAAATGTCTCTTATCTGCAGCTCATTTCCAGTTGCATCCGACGTAGATAATCCAGATTCAGAAATTATTTCCACAAGTGGCGATGCCTTAAAACAAGAGGATGAGGAATTTAGACGTAGAATTGAACTTGAAGCAGAGGAAAGAAAGCTTGAAGAAACTCTGGAGTATCAGAGACGAATTGAAGACGAGGCTAAACAGAAACACCTTGCTGAACAACATAAGAAAACTACTAGAACAATTCCAGAGAAGCACGATGATGTTGATCAATATGTACATGAGCAATTGAAAGACTCTAAGCAGGTGAACATTCTCTTGCTGAAATTCTCAGTAGTTGAAATGATGTAGAAGTTGGCCTTTCCTGTTCTCAAGTTATGTTTCTGTTCATAACTAGAATTTTGAATCAACTAACCTGGTAAATATCTTAGAATTTTGAATGGGCGGAACCATCTAATTGATTCCAATCCTTTTCCATTGATTTTGAATTAACGTAATTTTTGGGTCATGATAAAAGAGAAACTTACGTACTTGCAAGTTTCTAGGATCCCATGACCCAGAGAAATGGATTCCCCAATGGTTTAGAAGGTGCATTTGTGAACACTATTGCTAGAGCTGCTGGAAGAATTGGTAATACTCACGCTCACCATCCTACAAAAGTTAAGGAAGGTTAGCAATTATTTTTCACAGCTTCAGAGTTTGATGGGACAAATTCAATTTTTAGAGCTCTTGCCATCATTCCTTTTCTTGTGCAGGGTTACCTACTGGAGGAATTCCAAAGGATGGCCTTTTGTCTTCTGATCAGTGGACAGGAAGGAAAGGTAGACGTCAGAAGAATTCTGCCAAGTTGCTTGACACAAAGTATCAAGCTGTGTCAACTAAGAAAGAAAATATTGAAGTTCGACAAGATAGAGTTAAGGACGGTCTGCATGGTGACAGCAGTAAGTTTCACTCAGTTTTTTGCTATAGAGCCAAACTTGTTCTTTACATTTTACTCATTAATCAAATAGTGTTTTCCAATGACAATTGGCATTGCTCAAATTTTACTTTTCATTTACAATTGTTCTTGATTTGGTTGTATGGTTGTCCAAAAGAGTATAGGGTGCACTCCCAAAAGTTTGTATTTAGTCCTGAAATCAGCATGGTACAATCAGCAAACCATTACAGCATTTATTGCTCTGTCATTTTTAATTTTTGGAATGTAAGGATGAAATTGAAAATTGAACATAAACACATTATGGACATGGCAACTTTGGAGAGTTTGATGATAACTTTGCATGTTTCATGCTTAGTCTTATGTCTTTCACACTGCTGGTCCCAAGCCCAGAGAAAGGAGGGGGGTTATGATACGTAAAGAGCCAGTGTAGACATCACCACATATTAACATGAATTCAGACCTGGTCAGGATTTTAATGTAGTATGCAACTCTAGATGGGATGAACGACAAAAAGGGATTCATGTTGCCAACTTGCCACCCAACTAGTTGGTTCAACACTTTCTTCAGTTTGACTTGAGGCCTGTTAGATGATATCAGCTGTATTACAAAACTTACTGTACAGGGAGCAAATATTCTGGCGAAGCCCGTACTTCTTTCTACCAAACTCCGTGTCTATCCGATCGTCCTGCGAACACAACGGCGGTGAGCTACTCGGCGGTGTGTGGCCGGAAAACCTCTCCGATGGTCAAGTTAGCACACACTTAGGGATAGAGAGAGAGAGGAGAGAGTTCAGTGTTTAGTATATCTCACCAAATGATCATCTGCCTCAGCATGGGGGGCGCAGACACGCTTATATACCTTCTGCGTCCCAAATCTACTCCTATTAGTCTTTCGACACGCGGTGCTGCTATCCCATCTGTCAGCACAAATCCAGCAATCACCACCTAACAAACTGTTAGGATATCTTGGTGGAGCCCGGCAGACTGGCGGAACCACCCCGGCTTCTTATGACCGCGCTGCACGGCGTACCTGAGTGATCCACTCGCCGAGCCCCAGAACGACCGAGCTTGGTTGCATTCCGGCAAGCCGAGCTCGAGGTAGGTCGAACCGGTTAGCTGTAGGCCTTCCTGCCGAGCTGAATGCACGAACCGTGGAATCCGGAATGGCAGGCAGTCATCTCGGCCGAGCATCTTCAAGTAGCCCGGTTTCTACACAATGAGCCCAAGTAGCTCGGCCCAACATGGCCCTATGCCTTAACCAAGCAAAACCTCTTTGGACAAGCCCAAGATACCGCGGCCCAAACGTGTTCGGCACTCAACTTGCCCGGCCTTTGCCATGGCCCATTTCAGCTCATAAAATCTCCCTCTCAATTGCCCCTTAATTCCGTCCGCACAAACGTGACTGGGATTACATGATCCAACCGGGATAGACTCTTCCTCGGTCCTCAGTTTGCAAGTAGTTAACCGTGCTAGTTGACATGCCTGGTTTCCAAACTTGCCAGGTCGACGCCTCATATCGCCTCCCTGTCTCTTCAACTCTGACGCCGCCATTAATTGGGACACGCGTCGCTCGTTTATTGGCCTCGAGCAGCCAACCCTCATGTCCCTTCACATTCAAAAATTTTGGCGGTCTCTCTCTCTCCCATATATACGTCATTTCTCCCTTCATTTCGTTCTTACTGACTCTTCTTCAGTTCTTGACATTCTAGAGCTCCAGAGCCTTCGAAGAGCCTCCTTCTTGCATCTTGCTGCGTTCGTGCTTGAAGACTCACCTCCAGCCCCATTCTGGTAAGTTCTTCGACCCCTTTATTGCTATTTCATTTGATATTCTTCGTTTTAGGGCACAAAAACCATAGATTTTAGGGTATAGCTCTCCAAAACCCTCCCATGCCCCTTGTCCTCCTTGCTGTTCTTTAGCCCCAGTAATGAACACCTGAAGATCTGGGGCGGACCGGGCTCCAGGTCTTTTCTTGATCCCAAAAAACATTAAGACCGAGCAAATTGATAGTTTTAAGAAAACTTCTGTAGAAACCGAGGTAGGCAGAGTACTTGACCGGTCGACCGGGCTAATATCTGGTCCGCTTGACCGGTCGAGCTCTGAATTTACCTTCATGACCGAGGTGGTCTGGCACTCCATCAGGCCGAGCTAAAGTCAAGCTCGTTTTGCGCGACCGCGCTTTTACTTACACTTACCCTAATTTTCCTGCAGAGTCCAAGGGGACCACACTAACTCCGAGGCTCTCTAAGATCGAGCAGCCATCAAACAAGAGTTTGTGCTAAACCACCTCAGCCGAGCTAAAACCAACTGGCCACACATAGGGCGCTTTCGCTTCCTGGTTGACACCCCGGTTGCTCTAGCCGTGTTCCGGGAAGAATACGGTATCCCGGACGATGTTCATTTAGAGCTCGGCGTTGAGGACACAACCCCATGGGGCAGATTAGACCAGTGTCCCTTCACCGTGCTGTCCATTATAGAAGGGGACCTTCGCTTCCCGGTTAACCCGCTGATCTGCGAATTCTTGCGGCGCACCGGGCTAGCTCTAACCCAGGTCTCAACCAACACTTACAGAATAATCAACGGGATCCACGAACTGAACAACCGGCTAGGAACCAACCTAGGACTAGCCGAGATATTGTGCCAGTATACTCTCGGGCATACAGGCGATGGCCTTGCCTATTATTTAAAAATCAGATTGGGCAAGGAGAAGATAGTAACCGGCACCCCAGACAAGGACTTGTACGACGATGACTTTTTCTGGGTGTCTGGTAACTACGAAATAGCCGACGTACCGGGCTGGTTTATCAGCAAAAATTTCGGCGAGACATATAAGCCGCGCTAACTGTTCGGTTAATTATCTTTCTTCACTATTCTGTACTTAGCATTTTTTCTTCTTTCCTTTGCAGTAATCGAAGCTTTGCAAGCCAACTATCACTACCCCAACGAAGCAGCCATCAGGACCGTGCTTCGTTACAGAAATCGAGATTGCCATGAGCTCCTCGGTTACGTGCCGACATACCGATATTCAGCCCCATGCCGGAGTAAGGTAACAGACTTTCTCCGCGCTCCGTCACCTCCTCTAGACCCCGCATTGCCAGACGCGCCCTTCATCCGGTTAACTGAGGCAGAAGAGATGGCAAAGAGAAGCCGCATCAAGAATCTCATCACTGCGACTTCCACCGAGCTACAGAGCATCCCAACCCGCACAGCCGTTGCCGGGCAATCAAGTGGGACCGTGGTCGCACTGGCGTCTCCCGCCGCCAGGCAAGCAAGCAAAGACAACCGCCGGGCTGGAAAAAGGCCACGTGTAGACCCTTCTGCCGAGCTGGTCGCGGAGCTAAATACCGGGCAACCTGCCGTCACGATTGACCCAACACCGACATGGAGGTAGCAACTCAAGCACCGGGGCAAGGAGATCCCGGCAACCGCCTCAGTCAAAGGTGACAAGAAGCACCTACTGGCCTTCGATCTGACCAAGGCCTTGCTGCTGCCGAGCGACGTGGTCGGCAGCGACCACGTGCCGGACACCCGGCTGGTGAAGTCTTCGGTGAAGTCCATGACCAGGGTAAGAACTTCGCACACTTTGCCCAAAAAAAAACTTTCTAAGTGTTTGCTCGGCTTTTTCTCTAATCGAACCTTCTTCTTGCAGGCTATCCAGAAACAACACTTGGTCTTGGAACGCATTCACCGACTCCGGCAGAAGGCCACCGACTCTGCCAACCAGGTGGAACAACTTCATGCCGAGCTCGGCCGGTCCAAAGCATCACTGCAGATGGCGAACTCTGATAATTCTAGGTTGCTCGGCCAGCTTGGAACCGCCGAGAAAGAAAGGGACGCGCTCCGGGCCGAGCTGGAGACTTTGAAAGAATCAAATAAGAAGGAGCTGGAGGACGCCAACAACGCTGGTTTCAAGGAAGCCGAGGAGAGCTACTCCAAGCAAGTCCATGCCATCCAAGATATCTTCTTCAAGGCGGGATGGAAGGCTGCTTGTGAACAGCTCGGCCAAGGACCTGGGACCGACGTGTTCGCCTCTCCCCCAGTTGCCTTCCTGCCGACGTACCTTGTGCCATGTGCCAACGACGTCTTCAGCGCGTTGCAGGCTGAGGCCGAGGAAGAAGAGGCAAAGGACGCCGAGGAAAATGCCGAGGGTGGCAACCGTGCAAAGCAGCCCAGCCAGGAGCAGACCGGTGTCCAGGAGATCACAACCACGGTCGACCTGGAAGCGACCGCAACCGAGGATGAATTCACAAATCTTTTCCCCTTAGTCTAGTTTTCTTTGTCTTCTTTTTGTTTGAACATGTAACCGGGCTATCTGCCCCTCTTGTAATTATTTTGCACATCAATGAAATAGTTCAATTTTCATCAAGTGTGTGCACGGTCTTCAAGCTAAATAACTTCAGCCGGACAAAATACTTCGGCAAAAAAGACCATTTGTTTAACTTATTTAACCGGAAAAGACATCTCGGTTTGAATCATAAAGTTGAGTAAATCATCGACTCAGTCAACCGGAATAAAACATCTCGGTTGAAAACCTCAAAGTTGAGCAAATCATCAACTTAGTCAACCGGAATAAAACATCTCAGTTTGAATCTCAAAGTTGAGTAAATCATCAACTCAATTAACCGGAGTAAAACATCTCGGTTGGAATCTCAATTAACCGGAGTAAAACATCTCGGTTGGAATCTCAATTAACAGGAGTAAACAACTTGGTTCAAATCATAAAGTTGAACAAATCATCAACTTGTTCAACCGGAGTAAACATCTCGGTTCAAATCTCAAAGTTTGAACAAATCATCAACTTGTTTGACTGGAGTAAACATCTCGGTTCAAATAACAAAGTTGAACAAATCGTCAGCTTAGTCAACCAGAATAAAACATCTCGGTTGGAATCTAACAATAAGCAACGAAAACAAGCAAAATACTGGAGCAAAGACAAGACACTTTTATATATTGACAAAAAAGAATATTACATTCTGAAGTGTGAAGCCAAAAATTCCTTTGCATAAAAAGAACACAAACTATGAAAAACTAAAAATAGTACAGTTTGAGATTGGCCGCATTCCATGGCCGGGGTATTCCTCTGCCCTCCAAATCCTCCAAATGGTATGTCCCCTTGCCGGCCAGACCGGTTATCTTGTAAGGTCCTTCCCAGTTTGCCCCTAGTTTGCCTTCTCCTAGCACCAGGGTGGTGTCCGTGACCTTCCTTAAAACCCACTTTGAACGGTCTGGGGTGCACCGTCTTGTTGTATTTTCGTGAAAGCTCTTGTTGGTAGGCGGCTACATGGATGAGAGCTTTTTTCCGGCGTTCTTCCACTAGGTCCAATTCTAGGGTGATCGCTTCAGAGTTCAGCTTGGGCTCAAAACTTTCATTGCGGAGGGTGGGCATACCGACTTCCAAAGGGATGACCGCCTCCATGCCATATGCCAAGGCAAAAGGAGTTTCCCGGTGGATCGCCGTGGAGTCGTTCGGTATGCCCAAAGAACGCTTGGGAGTTCCTCGAACCATTTTCCCTTGGCTTTCTCAAGCCTTTTCTTCAACTAATCAAGAATGGTCTTGTTTGATGCTTCGGCTTGACCGTTGGACTACGGCTAAACCGAGGTAGAGTTGTAGAATTCAATCTTCAAGTCTTCACAAAATCTTCTGAATAAGCGGCCGTCAAATTAGGTGCCGTTATCAGAGATCAGAATTTTGGGGACGCCAAACCGCGTTACCACGTTCTGCCAGACAAACCGTTTTACATCCTTCTCCTTGATCGTTGCCAAAGGCTCAGCTTCAACCCATTTGGTGAAGTAATCTGTGGTCGTGATAAAGAACTTCCGGTTGCCTGGTGCTGTTGGGAGTAGGGGTGTGTGCGGTGCGGGGCGGTGCGGTTTGAGAGAAAAATAAAAACCGTATGGCGGGTGGCGGATTGATAAAAGTGTCACTAGAAATTTTTCTTATCAGAAACCCTTATCAGAAACCGGCTGTTCGGTTGGCAAATAATGACGGATTTGCCTTGGCGGTTCGGGCGGATTGGCGGTTTATAAAAAAAATATAATTCAAATTATAAAACTTAAATCAAAGAGTAAAAAAAAGACGAGATACCGTGATGTTAAGTATCTTGCGAAGCTTTCTTCTAATGCAACAAGTGTAGCAACAACATGATAATATCAACGACTATGCCATCAGTTCATTGCAAGCATCTGTGGAAGCTACAATGATCAAATACAATACATAAAATTAATATCATTCAGGGTTTACAATAGATTGAAAATGTTTACTGTTGAAAAGTATTTAGATTGAAAAGTAAGTTGATGCAAGTTTGCAACATGGCCAGAAAAAAAAAAAGATTGAAAAGTGAATTGGAATCCAACTTTATTTTGGATTACTGACATCTTGAATTCCCCTCGAGCAGTAATGTAATACTATATTCTAAAGTATAGAACAACAAGCAAACTTAAGTAAAAAAGAATTTTTAGAATCTTATAAAACATGATTTAATAGCAGTGCGGGTTGGTGCGGTTTGGAAGAAAAATAGAAACCGGCGGATTGATAAAAGTGTCACTAGAATTTACCATTTTTTTAACCAAAAATCGGCGGTTCGATTGGCAAATAATAACGAATTTGCCTTGGCGGTGCGGTTCGGTGCGGTTTCGGCAGTTTCGATGGTTTCGACGGTATTATGCACACCCCTAGTTGGGAGTGGTCCCACTATATCCAGCCCCCACATCGCAAAGGGCCAAGGGCTGGTGAGGGGAAGAAGTTCTCTGGCCAGTTGGTGAATTTGGTGGGCAAACTTCTGGCACTTCTCACATTTGCGAACATACTTCTGCGCGTCTGCTTGCATGCACGACCACCAATATCCTTGCGAGATAGCTCGGTAGGCCAAAGATCTGCCCCCTATGCGACTGCCATAGATGCCCTCGTGAATTTCGTAAAGGAAGGCCTCCACGTTGTTTGGATGGACACATTTGAGATAGGGACCAGTGAAGGACTTCTTGTATAAAGCGCCGGAAGAAGAGAGCCAAAACCGCTCTGACTTCACCCAAATTTTATGTGCTTCCTTCTTGTCGGCTGGAAGGGTCCGTTCTTTGAGAAAGAGGATAATTGGGTCCATCCAAGAAGGACCTAGCTCGGTGCAGAGTACTTCTGTCTGCTCGGCTTCATCAATGCTGGGCCTCGGAAGGAATTCAATCAGGAGAGGGCTGAGAGATGTGCTATCGACCATGGAAGCGAGGCCGGCTAATTCATCTGCTCGGCCGTTTTCTTCACGGCCAATCTGTTAGACCCTTATTGCCTGGAATCGCTTGATGTGGTCTCTTACCAAAGCTTGGTACTTTGCCATTCTGTCGTCTTTAGCTTCGTAAATTCCAGAAACTTGTTAACCACAAGTTGGAATCACTATAAACCATTAGCTCGGATGTGTGCATCTGAAGCGCGCTCTTGAGCCCTGCCAAAAGCGCCTCGTACTCAGCCTCATTGTTTGATGCAGGGAATCCAAGAGTGATAGAGTGTTCGATGGTCAATCCGTCTGGCGAAATCAGAACTATGCCCAGCTCGGCACTGTGGCGGTTAGAAGCCCCATCTACGAAAAGTTTCCATATTTCACCCACAAAGAGCTTCCAACATTCTGAGGGGTCCTGGGAGGCTTGCAGGTGGATGGGCGCATGGTCGCTCGGCTGTGCGGTGTCAGGTTCAATGCTGATCGGTTCCACTTCCTCCCCTTCTGGCGATGCGGCACCGGACAGAGCAGGTTGGTTAGTAATACCCAACTCCCTCGTCGCATCGCCGGGCTGTAGCGTCGTATTGGCTGAAGGTTCTTCGGCGGGACGCGCAAGTTCTGTGTCGCCAACATCGCCTTGCTGTGTTACTTCGGTTAAATCTGCACTCACCTCCTCGGTTGTCCCCGCAAGATCCATTGGGCAGACGGGATGAATCTCGGGTGAGAATTCAACAACAAAATCGGCCAATGTCTGGGCCTTTATGGCAGTGCGTGGCTGGAACTTGACGTCAAACTATCCCAATTCGACCGCCCACTTGAGAATTCGACCGGAGAAGTCCGCCCGCTTGAACAAAGCTTTGAGGGGGAATTCGGTCAAAACAATGATTGTATGAGCATGGAAATAGTGCGCTAACTTAATGGAGGCCATTATCAATACCAACGCAAGTTTTTTCAGCGGCAAGTATCTTGACTTTGCCGGTAGCAAGGTTTTACTTACGTAGAAGATAGGGAGGTGCTTGATTCTTTCTGACCGGATAGAGATGGCAATCGGAACCCGGCCCGACGGGGACCCGATCCCCCGACCCCGAATTGAGTGGTGATTCCCCAAAAAATACCCCCGACGGGCCGGGGGTGGTATTAAAAATTAAATCCCCGATGATATACGGGCCGGGGACGGGGATACATGTTTCAGCCCCAGCCCCGCCTCGATCCTGGCCCCGATCCCCGCCTCGTTTTCCCCGATATAAAATTACTGTTTTGCCCTTGTATATATATATAACATATATAGGGTTTGGTTGAACCAAACCGCAACCTCTTCTCCTCCCTTCTATCTCTCTCTCTCTCTCTCTCTCTCTCTCTCTCTCTCTCTCTTCTACTCTCACTCTCGCACCTCTTCGCGACACCAATCGCCTCCTTCGTCGTCCTCCTCTGCCGTTCGTCCTCCTCCGACGCCGATCGTCCTCCTCCCCCGATCGTCCTCCACCGACAGATCTTGTTTTGAAACAGATTTTGTGTAGAGGGTTTGTATGAAATACCATTAACCAAACCAAACCTAAGCCTCATGTCCTAAGGTTTGGTTTTGTGTAGAGGGTTTGGAAATACCATTAACATATGTGTATAGGGTTTGTATGTGTATGTATGTATACAATTTTTTTTTTTTATAAATTTTTTTGAACGAATACAGATCTGTTTGTGTATGCAATTTTTTTATTTTTATTTTTTTTAAACGAATACAGATCTCTATAACAGATCTCTATAACAGATCTGTAAGTGAATTTTTTTTATTTTTTTTGAACGAATTTTTTTTGTGTTGAGGGTTTGTATGAAATACCATAACAAAACAAATCTATTATTTTTTTTTTATCTGTTATTGATTTTTTGATCTGGTGGTGGTGATGTTTTTTGATCTGTTGATGAGGATCGGGGAATTTCGGGGTCGGGAAAACCCGATCCCCGTTGGGGACGGGGATGGGGACTATGATTGGTTCCCTGTCGGGGATCGGGGCCGGGGACGGGTAAGTTTTGGCAATCGGGGATCGGGGACGGGGAGGGTGATCCCCGGCCCCGCCCCGTTGCCATTCCTACGACCAGACAAGCACCGCACTAACTGCATGCTGAGAAACGGCTAGATAAAGGTAAAGTTCCTCGCTGGGCTTCGGTGTTACCAACAGTGGTGCTGAAGACAGATACTCCTTGAGCTCGGCCAAAGCTCGGTCACATTCTTCATCCCACGAGAACCTTGATTTCAAAGCTTGAAAGAAAGGGCGGCAGCGATCTGATGATAGGCTTATGAATCGGTTAAAAGCGGTGGCCATTCCGGCCAGATGCTGCACGT